CCGCTTCTCTGCGCTACTCTTTGTCCTCCCCGGGCAAGGAGGGTGTGTGCACACCCCCCGCGCCTTGCACCGCACGTCGTTTGCCTTTGCTTCTCTCTCTCTCTCCCTCCCTCCCTCTCTCCCTCCCTCTCTCCCTCTCCCCACCACAGTGCTCTGTCTCACGCATGCTCTTGGTCGCCCATGCAGCCACCTGTCCTGCCGAGTGCATGATCGACAACCGCTGTGTCCCGGACTCCTGCCAGTGCTCGATCGCCTACAAGCCTGACCAACTGGACATGGTGTCCGACATCCTGTGCACGCGGGGTACGTGCCCGTGCCGTGTCCCGCGTTTCCCCCTCTGCCGCCAGCTGGCCCGCCCGCCTCTGTCCTCTGACCATCCCATGGTGCCATGCTCGCCAGCCCCGGAGCATTCCTTCAGCCCGGATGTGGCCCTCCGCCGCGCCGGACATGTCTCCGCGCTGTTGAACCTCCCCTCGCTCCCCGGCGCCCCAGCCGAGCAGGCTCTCCTGGTCCATGGGGGGACCTCCTTCGACTCGCCCTTCCTTTCGGACACGGTGATCTATTCTTTCAGTGCGCATCCCCCCCCCCTCCTCCCACCTCGGGCCTCCTCTACGCGCTCGCCTTCGCCTCCCATTGCTGACTGCCCCTTGCCTGATGCCGCCACCCCCTGGACGCCCTTGGCCCCCGGCAGGCAGCGAGCGCTGGACACCGGTCCTTTCGCCCTCACATGGCCATCCGGTCCTGTCGCCCTCGGGCCGGCACAGCCATGCGCTGGCCGTGGCCGACCCCAGCCAGGGGGTGCTCTTTGTCTTTGGCGGGTATACATCCAACGGCGAGAGCGACGAGCTGTGGATCTTCAATTTCGGTGTGTCTCCGTCTTTGCGCATGAATGCCCCCCCCCCCCTCTGCCGCCCCCCCCCTCATCACTGACGAATGTCCCGGCCACGCACTCGAGGCACTCTCACCTGGCGGCAAGTGCAACGCGGGCCCCATACATCCGACTGGCCGCCTCCCCTGTTTGGCCATTCGCTGTCCTTCGTGCCTGCGTCCTCGGGCGACGGCCCCGGCCACCTGTACCTGATTGGCGGGTTTGATGGGCGCGCCAAGCGCATCAACTCGGTTGTTTGGCGCTTCAGCCTGGGTGCGCATGCCCTCTGCCCGGCCCCACCTCGGTGTCCCGGGGCTCTGGCCCCATCATCCTTGCGTGCTTCTCTGACATTCGTCCCCATTTCCCGCTGCAAGACACTCGAACGTGGGAGCGCGTTGGTCTGGCGGCCCCGGAAAGCCTGACGGCCGGGGTGTTTGGCCATGCGGCGGCCTTTGTCCCAGCCCATGGGTCGATCGTCGTGCATGGCGGCATTCGTCTGGCTCGCGGGGCCGGGGGCGGGACCATCCACACGAGCACCATTTCCCGGGACACCTATGTCTTCTCGCCGGTGACCCACCAGTGGACGCGCATGATAACCCGGGACTCGGCCTACCGGTTCATGCACCGGATGGCTTTGGTGCCGGATTTGTCGCTGCCCATCCCGATTGCCCCTCCGTCGCCGCTGGATGGTGGGACCTCTTCCGGCGGGGCTGCCTCGGCGATGGAGGCGGCCGTGGCACCACTGCCACTGCCCATCGCCGGCAATGTCTGGGGCCTGGTTCTGATTCATGGGGGCTTTGCACCCTACACGCATTCCATCCCGTCGGTGGCCAACCGTTGTGTCTTCTCCGACACCTTTGTCCTGGACACAAGTGCGTTTTTTTCCCCCTGGCCACTCTGCCCCCTCTTGCCGCTTTCCCCGCTAACCACCTGCGTGTTTGTCGGCCCCTCTTCCGGATTGTGGTTATGGGCTTTGCGCCTGGGACTGGCAGTCTGCTCGGAATGGACGGCCCTGGCTCTGCCTGGAAACTCGGCCCTGCTGGCCCGCAGCGGCCATACTCTGGAGGTGTTCCCCGCCCGGCTCGGCCGGTTCCCAGCGATGTTGCTCTTTGGCGGCTTCAACGGTATGGTCTTTTGTATTTCCGCCGCCGGGGACTTACCGTCCTCCGGTGTCCGCTTCTTCTCCTCTTCTCTCTCTCTCACACACACACACTGACTCCCTCTCTTACTCTCTCTTACTCTCTCTTCTTTCCCCCTCTTTCCTCCTCTTTCCTCCTCTTTCCTCCTCTTTCCTCCTCCTTTCTCTTCTCTCACCCCCCTCTCCCTCTCCTGCCGCGTCAACATGCACAGGCCAAATGATGGCCGACATGGTAACCTATGACCTTGGAGACCGGCGGAGTGCCAATACCCAGTGCCATGCTCTCTTTTGCCACCAGCAAACAGGCAACCTATCCAAATTCCCGAATCTCAGCCCCTGCCAGACCTGCCAGCAATCGCCCCTCTGCTCTTGGAGGGTTCTCGACCTTCCGGGCTTGAAGGGTGCCTGTCTGCCGCTGGCCGATGCCCCCCCGCACAACTGCGCGACCCTGGAGGCGTCGGCCACTCCCAAGGCCACTGTCATCCATGGCAGTGGTGGCGAAGATCACTGCCAAAGCCTGGCCAGCTGCGGTGCATGCGCCAAGGCGCCGGGATGCGCCTGGTGCCCGGGGCTCCGGCAATGCCAGGCCGTGGCTTTGGATGCCGCGGCGGCGGTGGCAAGCCCGGCAACGACCTCATCCTGCCCCGATGGTCTTGATGTGTCAGGCCGCTGCCCGGCCGAGACATGCCCCCGGCGGGGCTCCTGCTTCGAGTGTCTGCAGCCTCTTGCCCCGGGGCCCGGACTGGCGGCCCTCCCGCCCGGCACATCTGCATCCGTGGTCGACCGGTGCCAGTGGTGCTCGGAGAGCCGCACATGCGTGGCCCTGGGCCGGTGCGCCACAGGCGCGGACCCCATCGCGGCGCCGGATGTGGAGCTCTTCGGCTGGGGCGCAGCCCTCTGCCCGGCGCAGTGTGACTCCTTTGCTGATGAGTTTTCCTGCTATTCCGGCTCCCGGCCGCCTCAGACGTCCTGCTTCTGGTGCTCGACCATTGGCCGGTGTGTGGATGCATCGGGCCGGGCCGGGGCGTCATTGATGCTGGCCGGGCCGGATGCCCCCTTTGGGGCGGCCTGCCCGGCGTGGACAAGCCGGCCGGAGCTGCCGCTCGGCATGCCGAGCACCCACGGACCGGATGCCCTTAACCAGCCGGCCCTGCCGCCGGAGCTGCCGACCGCCGGCCGGGGGGCCTTCTCCGGGTCCCTCCTGTCGGGGAATGTCGGCCACTTGGCTCCCTTGCAGTATCTGGATCTGGAGGTGGAAGTGCCGGCCGTGGCCGCGGACTTGGTCTTGCAGACGCTCTTCTGGATTGACCCCCTGCCACGGGGGGTGCCGGACCGTGGCGAGACGCCTGGCCCGCCGGCGGCCGACGGCCGCGGCCCGGAGCCGACGTTGCTTCTGCACCTGAACGGCCCGTCCGGGGTCTGGTCCACCACCAACCGGCTGCTGGTGGTGGGCGCCCCGCGCGCGGTATCTTCCCTGGGCTGGCCTTCGGGCGCGGGGCGCTTCGCACAGGCGTCCCTGGATCTGGCCCTGGGCCTGGCCCTGCCGGGCCCGTTGCGGGGCCTCCTCCCGGATGCCGCACTGGCGGCCGTGCGTCGGGTGACCGCCGCGGCGAGGGCGGCCACCGGCGCCGGCGGCCCATGGCAGCAGGGCCACCACTCGGCGCCAGGCGGGCCGGGGCTGCTGGCCGGTCGATACACCATCCGCCTGCAAAACCAGGGGGCATACTACATCCCGGAGACCGGGCCCGGCTCCGACCGGGGCATTCGCTTCTCGATCACCGCCTCGTTGGCAGCCCCGGGGACCGGGCACCATGCGCTCTTCCCGCCGATGTCGGGCGATGAAATCCTCCACCGGGAGGGGATGATCGACCTGCTCTTTGGGGCCACCTCCGGCGCGTGGGTCATCATCTGCATGCTGGTGGCCTCGGTCATCGGGATCTACCTGCTGAACCTCTTTGTCATTCGCCGGCGCCGGTACTACGAGTGGCGTCCGCCGGCCGTGCCGGTGGCCTTCTGGCTGGTGGTCACGCCGGGCAGTCGGTCGCCCGGGGTCTGGCGCGCGCCGGCCCCGCCGCCGAAAAATTGGCTGCCCCCCGACGAGTCTCCCGGCGGGGAGGCCGATCCGGCCGAGGCGGCGCCCCTGGCCACTGCCACGCCCGAGCCCCTCCCCGAGGCGGGCTCCACCATGGACGACATGCGGCTCTTGATGCCAGGGGTGCCGGGGGCCGAGGCGGCCGCTGCCAATGCCAGCCTGTCCTCCATGCAGGTGGTGGCTCTGCAGGAGTGCCCCATCGGCGGGCATGGCCAACTCGCGGCCACCATCCTCGTGGCCCTGCCCACCCCGCCGGAAGAGCTCCAGCCCGGCGATACGACCGCGGTTCTGTCGAGCCTCGGCCTGGCGACCGTTCATCAGGTCCCGGTGTCCGGGGCCTACCGGGCAGCCGGGCGCCATCTTCGCCGGCTCCGGGCCAAGCGCATGGCGGCGGAGCTGGCGGCCGCGGCCGAGGCCGAAGCGGTGGCCGCCGCCGCCGCCGCCGCCGAGACCGATGCTGCGGAGGCCGTCGACATGGACGCCGAGATGGCCAGTCACCATGCCAGCGACTCGGACTCCGGCCGGTCGGACGACGAGCTGGAGTCCGAGCGCGCGGGGATCGGCCCTCCCTTGTCAGCTGGACCGGGAGCCCTGCCGGTCGGGGCCACCCTCCGGCGATCCTCCTCAGTGGGCAGCGCGCACTCCAGCCGGCATCTCCTGGCGGAGGGCGGCCACTCGGCCTCCGGGCACATGGCCGGTGGCCGGGCTGGCGGGCTGCTGCGAGACCTGCACGTGCTGACAGCCCGGTCGCTGGAGCGCCTGCGCACGAGACTGGCCGTGTCGACCCCGCATGCGGGTCTATCCGGGCCCAGTGGCGCCGGGTACTATATCGAGCTTGGGGCCATGTCCCCGACCGGTCAGCTGCCAGGGGGGGCCCGGTCTCCTGCCGAAGAAGACCCGGAGGCCTTGCCCTCTCCCGGGAATGCGGCGGCTCCGTCCCGAAGCGGCGGCCACCCGGAGGCCCAGTCACCCGGCAACTCGGACGCGGGCACTGTCCCGCTGCTGTCGGTGGCCCCGATCCCGGAGTAGTACACCCGCCGAGGCATGTGTCCCCTCCCCTCCCCCCCCCCCCTGTATCCTGTCCTTGTTTGGAGGGCCGCGCCTGCCTCCGCGCCGGTATGTAGAAATATATACTCCTCAGTCATACACGCACGCATGGAAAGCAGAGGCAGAGGGCAACGGCCACAGAGGGGGAGGCGGAGAGAGAGAGAGAGAGAATGTGTGTGTGTGTAGGGGGGGGGGGGTCCATTTGGGGTGTATTGGGGTGTAGACGCGCCGGGCGCCTGCACACGGGTGTTCTTCTCAAGGACATTGGGGGATGAATGGGGGAAACAACAAGAAGGGGAAATGGAAAAGGAGGCGGATGAAAGTCGTTCGTCCGGGCGTCGGAGGACTGTGGCCGAGGCGCGCGGGCGTATGGCGCGAAGAGGCTGGCTGGGCGGAGAGGAGGAGGAGGAGAGAGAGAGAGAGAGAGGGAGGGAGGAAGGGAAAAAGCCGGGGAGCCGGCCGAGCGGGAGGGAGAGGAGTGCGGCCGTGGACGGGAGGCAGCGCAGCCGCTGGCCATGTGTGCACATGGACCCTCTCCCCTTGGCGATTCGGCCCCCGCGCTCTCAGGCCCAGCCGCCAAGGCCATTCTTGCCGAAGCCCATGAGGTTGTGGTGCGATAGGGGCGGCTGGGTCGGCGTGCGCAGGGTGACCACCCGATGGCGCAGGGTCAGCGAGGGGACCGCGGCCGGGGTGGCGGCGCTGCCGGTGGGCGAGGCGCTGCCGCTGTTGGTCGAGCCGGAGCCGGAGCCGGCGCCGGCGCCGCTGTTGTGGGCATTGGCCGGGAGATCGGCCGCCGGGACCGGCTCGGCCGGCGGGTCCGCGTAATACGACAGCCGCCGGGTGACATCGCCACCCTGCAGGCGCCGGGTGGTGGGGTTGATGGCGACCACCATGTCCACCGTGTCGCCGGCCACCAGGCTGCCACAGGGGCGGATCTGGCCGGTCGGCTCGGCCGGGCGCAAGGCCTCCGGCAGGGAGTACACACGCTCGCTGCGGAATGGCGCATCGATGTGGGCCACGCGCGAGGCGGTGGACGTGTGCACCGCCCGGGCATTGGGGCCCGGGGTGGTCAGAACCACGCCCGACTCGATGAAGCTAATGCCCAGGGGGATGGGGACCGGGCGCACGCGCCGGGCAAACAGCCGGTCCGAGGAGGCGTGCCGCACCAGCAGGAAGCTCACGGCCATCGGCATGCGGAGCTCCTCCTTGCCGGCGAAGTCCGACAGTCGGAAGAACACCCGCGAGGCGAACTCCCGGCAGCGGATCCACGCGGACCCGCTGTCCTGGCGAATGCCCGTGACAATGCCGAAGTAGATGCCCAGCTCGGTGAGGGCCTTGGTCCGGACATTGGTGGCCACACCCGGGGCACCGCCCGGACCCGGCGGGGCCGCCGGCTGGAAGGACACCAGGTCCCCGTAGAAGAGCCCGAAATAGTTGAGCGTGATGGCCGCATGGGTGAAGTGCCACAGGGCGGTCACCTCGGCCCCGGTGTGCGGATCGCGACCGGTCGTGGCAATCAGCCCCAGGGCCCCATGGTCGTCGGCACCAGCCCCGGCGCCCGGCGGCCCGGCCGGGAGATCATCATTCGAGGAGGCACCGCCACCGGTGCCACCGGCCCGCGAGGGCGACCGAACCACCACACCCAGCAGGTGCCCGGGCTCCTGCAGGGCATCCAGCTCGAAGAGCCCGACCGTGGACCCGGCAGCCGAGGGGGTCCGGCTGTCCAGCCAGCCAAGCATGTCGGCCGACCGGACGCCCCGGATGGCGGGCTTCTGCGAAATGATGTCCACCGACTTCGGCGGGGGCAGGGGCCCGGTGGCGGCGCTGGCCGTGCGCCCGGCGATGCCCGGCGACGCGGGCGGCCCCTCATGCGGGAGGGTCCGATGCACCAGGGCACCCGGGGGGGAGTCGGCGGTGGCCGGGGCCGGGGCCGCGGCCCCGGTGACCATCGGCGCCGGCACCGGCGCCGCGGCACCATTCACCTCACCGAAGAAGTGCCCGGCGGCCAGGGCCGCCAGAGCCGCGGCCGAGCTGGCACCCGCCGCCGGCAGCATGTCCGCCGTGTCCAGCGACACCAGCAGCCCCGGGTGCCGGGAGGCGGCCATGTCCGACGCGGCCAGGGCAAACTGCGTCGGCAGGGGCGGCGCCGGCGCACCGCGAGCCGCCGGGCCCAAGGCCGGCGCGGCCTGCTCCCGATGGGGGAACTGCACGGACACCACGCTCGGAGCCGGCGACCGCGGAGTGAGGAGGATCTGCGCGGGGACCTGCTCGCCGATGACCGGCGGCCGGGTGGCCTCGCCCGCGGCCGAGGCAACATGCCCCACCGAGAAGGGGACCATGTGCAGCTGCCCATGCAGGGGGAACTGCAAAGCCCCGGCCAGCGGCTCCAGATGGGGAGCAGCCCCCTCGCGGAGGACCGCCGCCGCCAGGGGCCGGACCACGGTGGCCGTCACCGGCACCACCCCCGGGCCGCTGGTCGACTCCAGCAGCAGGATGCGCGTGGCCGAGAAGGACTTGTCGGTGCGAACAATCTCGAACTCCAGCAGGTCACCAATGCGCAGCTCGACCGCCGGATTGCGCGTCCAAATGGACTGGATGTGGAAGTAGATGTTGCGGGACTTCTCCCCGGGGCCCGGGGTGGGGCTCTGGGCCTCGGCCGGATTCTTCAGCTGAAGGAAGCCATAGCTGGGGGGGGGGGGGAGGGGCGGAGGGGGCAAGTGGATGTGTGAGTGTGGGCATGGACTTGGTGTGCGGCCATGCGCAGGGGGCCCGGTGAAATGCGAGCACGAGCATACATACCCGTTGGGATTGATCTGGGAGATGGTGCCGGTGTAGCGGCGCGCGGCGCGTGGAACCTCCAGGCGAACGTCAGCCACCTGCATGGAGCCCGGAGCCGCCGGGCCGCCGGGGATCATCACGAAGGAGACCAAATCGCCGGGGACCACGTTGGGGCAGCCCTAGATGCATGCGGCGTGTGTGCGGAGACAACCGGCCATGAGTCAGCATGGAGGGCAGGAGGAGGTGGCAGCCCGGGGGAGGGGAGGAGGCCAGCCAGGTGCATGGGCGCGCGTACCCAGGAGAAGTTGCTGGAGTTGATGTCGGTCAGCAGGCGCAGGGCCGGGTCGGTGGGGACCGGCTGGCCGGTGGTCGGACAGGGGGACACCAGGGGAATGACCTTGCCGGTGGAAGGGGTCACCTGGGAGGAGCGGGCCAGGGCCAGAGACAGGAACGCCTGGGACACGATGCCCCAATGACGAGGCTGGGTGGAGGCGCGGGAGTGGGCCGGGGAGTCCGGGTGTGCGTGCGTGCGTGCGTGCGCGCCGTGTGAGCAAGGGGACAGGAGAGGCATCAGAGGGGAGGCAGGCAAATGGCGCACCAGGCCCGAGAGAGCCGGGTTCAGGGGCTCGTGACGGATCTGAAACTCGACGCCGCCAGGGCCGACATCGGCGGGCTGCTTGGAGCCGCCGGGGCCGGTGGCCGGCTGCTTGGGGGCGGCGCCGCGGGGGCCGGGGCCAGTGGACCGGGCCGGGGCACGGCCGTTGCCGGGCTCGGCCGGCTCAGTGGCCGGCTGGGGCTGGCCGGCCGCCGAAGTGGCCGGGGCATTGGCGAAGAGACCGGAAAGGAGGTTGCTCCGGCCCTCCGGCGCCGGGGTGGACGTGGTGGATGCGGCCGGGGCGCGCGTGCGAGCCGATGTGGGAGGGGAGTCGCCCTCGGGGCGGGTCTTGCCGGGGCGCGTGCGAGCCCGGCGTCCGCCGGTCGACGCGCCCAGGTCGTCCGCCGAGGAGGAGGAGGAGGAGGAGGCCGTGCTGGGGGCCTGCGAGAAGAAGGCGGCCGTGGCAGGGGAGCTGTCGGCGGCGGTGGTGGGGGTTGCGACATCGGCGGCCGCCTCGGACTGGGGGGCGTGGGCCGGCACAGCCACCGGCTGGAGGTGCGACATGGGCGGCAGAGGCATGGCCATCGGCCGGGCCGGCGGCCAAGGGCCCATGTGGGGGTGGTGCATGGCCATCGGCGGCCAGTGGACCGGGGCCGGCTGGGGGTGGCCGCCTTCGGGGGTGGCACCGGCGTCACCGCCAGGGCCAAACGGCGGCCGGAAGTGCGGGGCCTGCTGCGGGTCGGCCCCGAGAGGCCCGGCCGGCGGGCGAACCATCGGCGCATGGTGCGGCGCGTACCACATGACCGCCCCCGGAGCGGGACGCACGTCGGGCGAAAAGTGGCCCGGGGCGCCGGGGGGGATGTGGTGCGGGCCGCCTGGCAGCGGGGCCCCAGCGAGATGGGGTGGCTGCCCGGGGGGCGGCCGTGCACGCGGCCGCTGTGGCAGATCGTTCGGATTGTACATGTCTAAGAAGCAGAGGGGGGGGGGGGGCCTTTTTCTCGTGGAAACTGGGCGCGAGTGTGGCGTGGTGCGTTTTTTTTATTTTCTGCTACCAAGCGCCTTTGGTGGCGGCGAGGGGGGAGGGGGGGGAGGGAGGCATTAGCGGCGGGGGGTCTTCGTGTGTGTGTGTGTGTGTGTGTATGTGAAGGGGGGGGGCAGACGCGCAGAGCTGGAGGTGCACAGGCGCGACGGCAGCAAAAAAAAAAAAAGAAGAAGGGGAAGGGGGGAGGCACCTTGATCAGGGAAGGGGAGGGATGGCGGCCGACACGGGAAGGAAGAGGACGGCGGCCGGTGTCAAGGGAGGAGGGGAGAGGCAGGGGAGGAAGGCAAAAGGCGGGGAACAGGGAGGGGGGGGCAGTGGGGGAGTCAGCGGCCAAGGTGGCTCGTGTGGAAAATCTGTCCGCCCCCTTCGGCAGGCGGGGGGGGGGCTGCCCTTTTTCATCGCCCCTGGGAGGGGGGGGGGAGCCCGGCGGCGGGAGCACACAGAGCAGGGGGGGGGGCCCAGCGGCGGATATGCAGGCCGGAGCAGCCGTTGCCCCACACACCCCCCCCCCCCCCCCCCCGCACACACATACCTACGCCTGCTGCGTGAGAAGAACCGCCCAGCCCGGGGCACGGCCTTGGCGCGGGCAGAGCGCGGAGGACGCAACGGCCGGCCCGCGGCCCGGAGCCGGAACGCGCCGAGTACCGGCGAAAGCTGACAACGGTTTTCCGGCGCGCTCGGCCAGGGACCGGCCCGGGCACCAAACACACGGACGGCCTCCCGTGGCAGACCTGACAGGCCCCAGGCACCGAGGCGCGCGCGCGCGCGCGCGAGGGCGCCACGGCTCGACACACCATGGGCGGGCATTTGGCCGACGCCGGGCACCGAGGGGACGGGAGGACAGGAGCAGGGACGGGGGGGCGCGGGGCGCACGCAATCGGCCGCCGGGCTGGGCCGCTGGCGAATCTGCGGCCACCGCCCCCCCCCCCCCCCCCCCGGGGTGCAGGCAGGAGGGGGCAGCCAGGGCGGCGGAAAGTGGCCAACATTGGCCCAGAAGATGGTGGAAGCCCCTCACCGTGGCCGAGCCTCGCCCGAGACGCCCCGGAGCCCGGGCTTCTCGGTGCTGCGAGTCACACGGCCACGGAGAATGCGCCCCCCGCTTCCTAGTATCTAGCTCGTCGCTGGGAGGCGCGAGCCCGAGCCGCCCTCCCGTGTGCCGCCCCCTTCGGTCGGGGCTCTCGGGCACAGACTCTCCCGGCAAAGGTTCACGGCATGCCCATCGGCCCGGCGGCTGGCGCCCCCCTCCGCCTCGGCCCAGGCAGGAAGGAAACCCGGCGAGACGGGTCGGCGCGCTCAGCGGGGGGAGCCTCAGCCCAAGTGCGCATACATCCCGAGGCGAAGAGCAGCAGGGCATTGCGCGCGCGCGCGCGCGCGCACGTAGGCCCAAAAGCGTGGGGGCGCCGCGGTGCTCTCGTGCCAGAACCCGGCCCCAGTCGTGATTTGATCACGCGCCGGCATCTACTAGACCAGATCCAGATGGCGGCGGTGGTACTTGGCGCTGTCCTGTGTCGGGCCTTGTCCCGGGCTGGGTCGATCACAGACACACACATACACACACATCAGCCCCTTTGCTGCCCTGCCTTCTCCTCTCCCCTTGCCCCTCGCTCCTTTCCCCGCCTGCTTTCCTCTCCGCCTGTGGCTGTCCCTCTTCTCTTCCTCCTCTCTCCCCCTCGCCCGCGCGCGCGCGCACGCGTCCCGTCTCTCTGCCCCTTTCTCGCAGACACTCGACAATGCCAGTCGGGGGCCTCTGGCGCCAATGCGTCGCGGGCCTCCTGCTGCTGCTGCTGCTGCTACTGGCCGTGTCGGCTCGGGCCCACGGCCGGTCCTCCTCTCCCTCTGTGGTGGGCTCAGGCGGGGTACCCAGGCGCGCGGCCCCCGAACAGCGACATCTCGATGCCCGACTGCTTGACTGTCAGCCGGGCGAATACTTCCACGGTGCGCCAGCCCCCCCTCTGCCCGCGTCCTGCCGGATGGGGTGATTGCCGGACCCCGAGCAGTGCCTCACCTACCCCCCCCCCCCCCCCATTCCCTCCTCCTCCCCCTCGGGCAGATGACCTTGCCAAGTGCGAGCCCTGCGATGTGACATGTGCAACATGCACCGGCCCGGGCCCGACGGCTTGCTCATCCTGCGGCGACGGCCGCTGGTTTTGGGAGGCTACCTGTGTGACGGTCTGCCCGCAGGGCACCGGGCCGGACCCGCCGGCCCCCGAGCCCGCCCCACCGACCACGATGGCCGCCACCGCCGCCGCCTTCCGCGTGTGTCTCCCCTGCTTTGATCCCCTGTGTGCGATTTGCCCTTCGCCCTTCGCCCGGAGTTGCACCCTCTGCGCCCCGGGGCTGCTGCTGATGCAGGGGGCCTGCGCGCGGGACTGTGCCCCTGGGTGGGCCCCCTCGCGTGACGGGCTCTCCTGCATTCGCCGGGCCGATCGGGCCAATCCCGACCGGAACAACACGCGCACCGACAGCACGTCGGTCTTCGCCATCGCCTTCCTCGGGGCCTTCATGGGGCTCTTTCTGCTGCTGTGGATCTTCTACCCGCGGGAAAACCGCCGGCGTCTGGTTGCTCTGGCCAAGGCGTCGGCCATCTCGCAGCGGGTACGCCATCGGGCCCGGCGCTCCTGCCCCGCTCCTTGCCCCTCGGCCACTCGCCTCCGCGCCTTCCGGCCGTATCTGACCCCCCCCCCCC